CTTGGGTCTCATCATGGTCAAAGTACTAAAAATTTGTTAGTCTATAGAATTCTATGTTAGAAAGAAGCTCTCTGAGAATGGGATTATGATGTACACTCACCTGCGTATTCACTTCTTTTCCATCCTTAACGTGGAGTCCCTTGACCACAACGTGATGTAAGCGAGTCTCTGAATTATAGATTTACAAAACATGCGCAATATTCACGAATGTTATCACCTGAGTCAAGGACAACACGGTTCTCGCGATAGACACTTATCCCTCCATCCTCTGCAGTATTCATCGCACGATATTTAGAAGACCACGCCTAATAAGGTGATCTTATATGTGTTCGCATGTACTTTTTAAAGCCAAGTGAAAATGGCGTTCCCAAAAACATCAAAGAACTTGACAAAGAACTACCAAATAACAAAAATAAAGTTACCTGTCGACGATAAGAGGGCACGTCTTGCTCATCCGTCGTAGAAGACGCAAACCCTCGAGGTCCCAAATTTCAAGTGCCTCTCGTTGGAAAGCCAGTGCCGATAGCACCTAAATGATAAAAGATAACCCTAGAAGCATGTAAGACAAATTGACTCACTGATAATATGATACTCGGAGAAGAGTGACAGGCGATTCATTAGCTTCAGTTCTGATCCGCCGTTTGTCCCCTGAAGATTTTCAGAATGCAATCGATACGATCAAATTATTTATCTACTCACCTGTTCTTATGCCAATGCGTATATATCGTTTTTAACTACACGAGTAGTACTCAGGGAATGGTTATATCCAGCGGTAAGAACTGTATAGGTGCCGCCCCACTCCAAGCATCTAAACAATTCACGGTGCGCAATAGATCGTTTGGCGCATTCTTTCTTTCAACTACTTCCAGATAAAAACGGACTCAAAGGCACTGCCGAGACAACTTGGGCGTGCTGGGATCTTGAGACTGTGTGAGAGTTGGCTCCTGACTAATGCAACAGTGCAAGTCCAATTGAAAAAGATGGGATCTGAAGCGAGGAAATCGCTTCGGACGAGTTTGCAAAAA